TCTGCCAGTATAACTAATCCTTTCCTGTAATGGGTTGGCTGCAAAGCAAATTCTTCTCTTGCTTCCCAGTTCTGTGTATTGTGGGTTTGAGTACTGGGTTTTGTCAGTGGTGCATCCCAGTATTACGTCTGCAGAGAGCTTCCTAACTTCCTCCAATATTATTCCGTGGCCCTCAGAGCTTCTAGGGAGATTCTGCTGCAGGTACACCAGAAACCTTGAGTTTGTGCTCTCTTTTGTTATTTTTTTTTTGACTGCATGCCATCTGTAGGGCAGAATCAGCCCCACGTGAAGTAAATGCCCTAAGATTACTGTATTGACATTAACAACATAGCACAACTGAGCACAGGGTCTTCTCAGAAATGTAGCTCCTGGATTTATAAAGGATTTATAACCTTTATCCATCTCCTCCTTAGTTTCTGAAACAGCATTAAACCCCACGTATATTCTTTGTACGCAGCACAGAAGCACAAACAGAAAAGGGGCATATTTAAAATAATAGAGGAAATGGGGAGCAGCGTGGGCAGGTCCCCACACACCCTGACTCCCATTCTCCAATTAATCTGTGATCTACTTGCAGCCCAGCGTTCTGTTTCTCTCTCTCCAGCAAGCACACAAGATGGATTTGCCAGTATGGGTGACACCAGATGTCATGACTCACTTGAAGCAACTGAAAGACTTTGGGTTTGAATTTCTGTTTGGGATCCACAATCGGGTCGAAAAAGCTCGTCTGCAAGGCGGTGAGTGCATCAGGGAGGGAGCTTCGTGCAGCTCTCTCTGGTTTTTTTGCTTCTTACCAGCTCTTCCCTTTCCTCAGGGGTCCTGCTGGATCACATAAGGAAAAACCTAACCAAAGCAGCCAACGCTTCTGCCCGCCAGAACCTGAAACTACTTGTCTATTCAGCAGTAAGTCAGAGCTTGGGGGCTGGCTTTTATCCATCTCCTCCTTCTCGAAAGGGACTGGGGCTTGGTGATAGTTTTAACCCTTTCTGGCTTCTCTACAGCCCATGCAGTGACCAGGACGTGCATCTTTGCCTCTGGCTGGGTGGGATGTGCAGGATCTGGCATCATTCCTCTGGGGCCCCTGAGACAAACTCCCAATCTGCGCTTTGTTCCTGTTAGCTCAGGCTCGTGGATGAGACTGGCAAACTTTGGGGAGCTGCTGCTGTATTTATTTGGGAGATGGATGGGTTGATGCTACTCAGATGTGCCATTTCTGGAGGGTAGAGTCATCTCCCCTTTCCAGCAGCTGACTGACTGGAAAGTCAAGCATCTCTCCCCGGTTGCTCCCTAAAGATTAGTTCTTAAAGAACAATGCAGGATACATATGGTTGTGTTTCACTTCCTCCCCTTCTCTGGCACACACTTTTAGCAGTCCAGTTCCTCTCCCTTCTTCCAGATGGAGGTTACAAAGGTGGCATCCCCCCTCAGCACTGCCCTCTCTGTTACTGGTATGGTCTGAGCTGCCCTGCCGCATCCCTAAGGGTGACTGATTTGGTTTTTTTCCCTCTTTCTCAGCATGACACCACACTTGGGGCACTGCAGATGGCTCTAGATGTCTACAACAAGATCCAAGCACCATACGCCTCATGTCATTTATTTGAGCTGTACCAAGAGGATGATGGGTGAGGGCTGCAGTGAAGATGTCTGCTGTGATTTCACCTCAAGGGTTAGATACCTAGGCTAGGCTCCACCCTAGGGGGATGCAATCTTCCTCCTGGTGGCAGACTCTTAGGAGGAAAACTATCACCAGAATAAAGGAAAGGGTGTGCACACCAAGTGTTTGGGAAGGGATGACTTTAGCTGGAGAAAAAAAAAACAAAACAAACATAATCTAGCTGTTTTTTGTTTTCAGTAACTTCTCTGTGGAGATGTTTTTCCGGAACGAGAGTGAAAAGGAACCTTTCCCACTGACACTCCCTGGCTGTCAGCATAAATGCCCACTGCAAAGATTTTTGGAACTCACAGATCCTGTCGTTCCCCAGGACTGGGAGCAGGAATGCCAGGTAGCAAGCAGAGTGCATGACACAGGTGAGCTCAGGCTGGACCAGAGCGTGGCAGAAGGGTAAAGCTTGGATTGGTACCATGTTGACCACTCCTTTTCTCCCTTGCAGAGCTGTTTGTGGGCCTGGCTGTGTGTGGATCCATTCTTCTTCTCCTTATAATCCTCCTTTTGACTGTACTCTTCCGCATCCAGTCTCAGCCCCCTGGCTACCGGCACGTTTCCAATGAGGGAGAAGAGCAGGCCTGACAGTTGCTTCAACTCCTTCCCCAGCAGTAGGAGGGAGCAGCGTTGCCCCTAAGGATGATTGGGCACCTTCAGTTACTGAGCATTCTTCTGCTTTGGCCATTGCTTCCCAGAATGAAGCTGGACTTGATTTTTCGGACGCTTTCTAAAGGTGACGTCCCAAAGAGAGAGGACTGAGCTACTCTAATGGAAACGACACCTTAATTCTAAAGCCAGTAACTGTGTGGTGCCCCCAAGTCCTCGTACAGCTTACCTAGCCTGGGATTCCCAACTTGGCCAGTTGGAGCTGGTCTTTTCCTCCTTTCAGTGACTGTAAATGTTACCACTCACCACGCCTGTGGCAGAGGGGCTTGGGCCTCCAGCAGCTGCCACGTCCAGTGCAGTCAGGAGTTGCATCTCTCTTCAGGGCCAACCTGCTTTTGAGTGCTTTTCTCTCAAGCCATTGGGCTAACGATGGTGGGAAGGCCGGGCTTGAAGCAGAAGGCCCAGTTCACCAACAATGCACCGAGACTCATCTACTGTCCACGCAGGGGGAACTGCTGCAGATAGGGCAGACAGTGAAAAGCATTTCTTGAAGTCGCTGCTAAGTCCTTGCTGTTGACAACTGGTCTTTTTTTTTTCCCTCCTCAGGTTGTGGTGCCAGAGAGAACTGGCCTGGAATCAGGGCAAGATTGAAAACCTGGCAGTAGTTTCCAGGATTCAGCTCAGAGTAGGTTACCTATTATCCAAAGCAGCTCTAAGTGCTTCATCAGAGAGATGAGTTCCTGTGGCTGTAGCAAACCCACACCCAGTTTCTTGTGCAATGTTGGCTCTAGAAAGGAGAGTCCCCGTAGATAAGAAAAACTTGAGCTGAATCTAAAGATTCAGCCTTTGAATTTGACCTTCCCACCTCTGAACTTCCAGTACCTATTGCAGGGAGTATCCTGTACTGCAGGTAGTCCAGATTTCAACTGCAAGCCCATTCTGCTTGCAGGATGTTTTTATGCTGTAATTAAAGAGATGTAGCACAGCTATTACCTAAGACTAGATTAAATGCCAAGTTCTGTAGTTTTTCTTCCTGGTTTCTCTAGCTGATGGACAACAAATCAACAGAACCCTGTTAAGGATCAGTTTGCAGGTGACTGGGGATCCCTTTATTTGCCACGCTTTGGCATTTTGTCCAAAGTGTGATTTTTTTTGTTTTTTCTCCAGGCTGGCCTCTCTGCGCACTGCAGATGCTGCAGGGAACTTCCTGCCAAGTTCTCACCACCTGCCTCGTAGCTTTTGGCAGAAAACGAGAGACTGCAGCAGGCACCAGAAGCACGGGCTCTTCACGTGGTGATGCTGCACATTCACTTCTCGCTTTTACTTCCCTTTCTGCTGCAGTTCCCTTCCCCTCTTGGCGGCAGAAGCCTGTTCTTAGGTTACAGCCATTTCCTTTTCTTCCCCTAAGGAGCACCGTGGGGACTTTTCCCTACACCCTCTGCCAGCATGGGAACTCTAAATCAGCAGAAGCAGCTTGCTGTTCTCAGCATCTTCCTCACCTTTTTGTCCTCTGAATTTATCTAGGTCTCCTGCACAGCAAGACAAAGTCATAAAGGAAAAGCTACTGCCTGTGAGAACAGGCACAAGAAAGAGGTAATAGAAAGTGCATTTAGGATGACCAGACCTGTTATTTTTAAACGCAGCGATTTTTGCACACACAGAGCAAAGGTTTCTATGATGATTTAGACATTTTGACTGTGAATGACTTTCTGTAATTGTTCCAATACATTTCCTTTTCGTTATTAAAAGCAAATTCGCACTGAACTCTACTCCTCTTTTTCTCTAGGAGTTCCCCAGGCTAGCACCAGCGTGCTCGGTGTTGGAAAACAGGCAGAACTGACTGCAGTACTCCCCCTCCCAAAGTAAACCCCTGATTTACAATCACAGCAGAGTGAGAATGGAAATAAACTATTCTTGACAGCAGCAACCATGCACAGATACAGCTTAAAATGCAACCTGTCCAACATAGAAGGGTCCACTGTAGACACGCTACTATGACTGGCATTTCCACCACTGTTCTAGGTCTCTTAGCCCTCCTGCAGAAAGGTCAATAACTTCTTCCCCTATACAAAACCAGTGCAGTGGAATGCCCAAAGCAGCCACTCTCTGTATCAAAGAACCATTTCAGTTTAGTACAAAACTTTATTAATATCAATACCGCGAAACTATAAAAGTGAACACAGAGAATCTGAGCAGGCCTGGAGCCTCAACCTCTGGGAGAGCAGCAACGCCCCATACAGAGAATCTGAGCAGGCCTGGAGCCTGTCCCATCCCTCAACCTCTGGGAGAGCAGCAACGCCCCAGACAACCTTGTAAACAAACTAGAAAAAGCAAAACTTTTCAGTTTAACAGCAGTCTTGAGATTTGGCTCTGAGCATGGGTGTCTGGAAAAAAAAATAATCCCTTGTTTCTGCTTTACAACACTTCAATCCAATATCCTGAAGCACATAGGCATGGGTGAAAAAAATACCTAATCAGTGGCAAGAAAAAGCCTAGAGCTCTGAAAATCAGTAGATTCTACAGAATCAGTAGATTCCCAGCAGCATACTGCCCTCATATCCCCTCAGGCAGGTCAAGAGCTCTGGCATCATCATGTTCTTCGTGGTCTAGTTACGTAGCTGGAAGCACAGAATAGGCTGAGCCCGAGATCTCAACAGACACACGTTTTCCAAGCAGCTAACATATGAGAGAGGCTGGTGTTCCCAAGCTACCCATGGCCTCACCCCTGGCATCATCATGTTCTTCGTGGTCTAGTTACGTAGCTGGAAGCACAGAATAGGCTGAGCCCGAGATCTCAACAGACACACGTTTTCCAAGCAGCTAACATATGAGAGAGGCTGGTGTTCCCAAGCTACCCATGGCCTCACCCCTGTGAACATTCTCCCTTTTCAGGACACTACCTTTGTTAGCAAAGGGTTTCTCAGCTCAGTCTGACTAGAGCAGGCTGGGCACCCTGTCACGAGCTGCTCTGCAGCAGGCTACAGGAGATGGTAACTGCTGACAAGTGACAACAAGCAGATGTGGCAGGCTGGAAGCAGTAACTTCAGCAGGATCTGAGAACATCAGTTTTCCTAGTACCTCCCCAAAAAGGGTAGTAACTCCACTCGGAGGAGGAACCGGGCACTGACACAACTTTCTAGAAGGGGAAGCAAAGGGAATCAGGGAAGCAAGATCAGATCCAGGGAGGAATGACAAAGTAGAAGCCTAATGCCCCGCATGGCTTACACTGCCCATTGCCAACACTGAATTTGTACCCTGTGATCCAGAAAGGATCAAAACACTAAATCATTTCTCTAGATCTTTCCCTTTTTGCTTCCTTCCCTGTGATTTAGAATCTTTGGTTTTTGTTCTCGCCTCCTCCAGCTCCCAGCGCAGTAAATTAGCTTTGAGTTTGCTCGTCCCAGGGTTTGCTTGCCTCTGCCCTCCACTTCGGGACAAACTCCGGCCTCCAATCTGTTCTGTCATGGCTTTCAAAAGATGTTCTTGCTTCTTGGCCACCATCTCCTCCCGGCTCCAGATCAGAATATTAAAGCCTGAGAGGAAAAAATTAAACACTATGCATCAGAAACTCTACATCAAATAGAATACCTTAGGCTTATGTCACTAAAATGCCAGAAATTCAAAATGCTTTGTCTATTGTAAGATATTTCCAAGGTGCAGAGGATGCAAAGATATTCATTGCAGATGCTATCTCCACAAAGCCAGAGAAATTTCATCTAAGAAACATAATCAAGTACTTCCTGATCTCATCTGTCACAGATCTAAGACCTAAATCTGCAGGCAAGCTTCCTTAATCCCATACAGCCTGCGAAAAACTGAGTAATCTTGGCTCTGCAGCCTAGGAAATGAGCTAAATGAAAGGAAGGGAGAGGGCACAGCCAAGCAGGAGAAGGCTTCCCCCCTGCTCCATCGTTTTCTGCTCCTGTTCATGGCCGGCAGATGGCAGAGGCTCCCTGCTGCAGGGAGGCTTCTCGCTCCTCATCCTCTCCAACTTGACCCCCCCGGGAATGTTTCACAGGAGATGCCTAGCAACTTGTTTTCTAACTGTAGAGGTGAAAGACTGAAAGGAAGGTCTTGATCTCTTTTACAGATGTAGGAAATTAGAGGGGACTAACTAGCAAGTGGGATTTCAGAAACCCTCACTCGCAACTTGCTTTATTCAAGCAAGTTTATAACAAGCTTGTTCTTTTCTGGGACTGGAACCCACCCATGCTTAGTGCCCCAGGTTCTCTTTACTTACCCATGCCAGAGGCCAGCGTGTCTCCCATAGGGTTAAATTTATTGAGCTGAAAATGGAAACACAATCAGAGTCTGCAAGAGCATCACTGCCTACGTAACAGTCACGAGAGCAGCACAGCTTACATAACAGCACAAACCAGCTGGAAAAGCCAACGTTCCCTAAAGAGTATCACAGAAAACCCAGGGGTGACCATGGACCAGCCCTGCTCGAGTCAGCAGCTTTAGCCAGCAGCCCCTACCCTCACGAGAGCATGAGTCTGTCACAAGTAAAGAGGACACTCCTCTTGTTCCAGTCCCTAACCCATTATCTCCCGGCTGCGGTTCAACACATTTTCTTTTTACAGAATCACAGAATCTTCTAGGCTGGAAGGGACCTTTAAGATCATCTTGTCCAACCGTCAACCTAACTGACAAAAATAGACACCCGCACAACAAACAAGGAGCATCATCACTAAACCATACCTCCCAGCACTACATCAACCTGTCTTTTGAACACCTCCAGGGATGGGGCCTCAACCACCTCCCTGGGCAGCCCATTCCAATGGCTGAGAACCCTTTCAGTGAAAAAATTTTTCCTAATATCCAGCCTGAACCTCCCCTGGCGTAACTTGAGGCCATTTCCTCTTGTCCTGTCGCCTGTGACTTGAGAGAAGAGACCGACCCCCACCTCTCTACACCCTCCTTTCAGGGAGTTGTAGAGAGCAATAAGGTCTCCCCTCAGCCTCCTCTTCTCCAGGCTGAATAACCCCAGTTCCCTCAGCCTCTCCTCATAAGACTTATTCTCCAGACCCCTCACCAGCTTTGTCACCCTTCTCTGGACCCGCTCCAGCACCTCAATGTCTTTTTTATGGTAGGGGGCCCAAAACTGGACACAGTACTCAAGGTGAGGCCTCACCAGTGCCCAGTACAGGGGGACAATCACCTCTCGGGCCCTACTCACCACGCTGTTCCTGATACAGGCCAGGATACTGTTGGCCTTCTTGGCCACCTGGGCACACTGCTGGCTCATGTTCAGCTGACAGTCGACCAACACCCCCAGGTCCTTTTCTGCCAGGCAGCTCCAGCCACTCTGCCCCCAGCCTGTAGCGCTGCAAGGGGTTGTTTTTAGCTGCAGAGCTCAACTCACCGAGATGATACCAGAAGCATTTGGATCATAGAGCTGACAAACCATCTCCCCGGTGTTTCCATCGAATACGTCAACAGTTCGTAGCTCGTTGACCGTGTACCCTGGGAATTTAGGGTCTGGGTAGCGACCTGCTACGATGAGGTCATAGCGAGGATGCCACGTTGCCTGGTCATAGAGCAGAGGGATGGGGAATTCAGAGAAAGGGACACAGCTCGTAGTGACACACACCAGACAATCATAGAATCATAGAATTGCCCAGGCCGGAAGGGACCTCCAAGGGTCATCTAGTCCGACCCCCCACAGTCAGCAGGGACACCCCCAACTAGACCAGGTTGCCCAGGGCCTCGTCGAGCCCTCACCTTGAATATCTCCAGGGATGGGGCCTCAACCACCTCCCTGGGCAACCTGTTCCAGTGCTCCACCACCCTCACAGTGAAGAACCCTCTCCTCATCTCCAGTCTAAATCTGTTCCCCTCCAGCTTGAAGCCATTGGCCCTCGTCCTGTCACTGCAGGCCTTTCTAAACAGGTTCTCCCCAGCCTTCCTGTAGGCTCCCTTCAGGTACTGGAAGGCTGCTATTAGGTCTCCCTGGAGCCTCCTCTTCTCCAGGCTGAACAACCCCAGCTCCCTCAGCCTGTCCTCATAGCAGAGGTGCTCCATCCCCCTGATCATCCTTGTGGCCCTCCTCTGGACCCTCTCCATCAGGTCCATGTCCTTCTTATATTGAGGGCTCCAGACCTGCACACAATACTCCAGGTGAGGTCTCACCAGAGCAGAGCAAAGCAGAAGAATCACCTCTCTGGACCTGCTGGCAACACATCTTTTGATGCAGCCCAGGATGGGATTGGCCTTCTGGGCTGCAGCTGCCCACTGCCTGCTCATGTCCAGCTTCTCCTCCACCAGCACTCCCAAGTCCCTTTCCTCAGGGCTGCTTTCCAATCCCTCACCCCCTAGTTTGTATTGGTGGCAAGGATTGTTCCATCCCAGGTGCAGAACCTTGCATTTGCTCTTGTTGAACCTCATGAGGTTCACCTGGGCCCACCTCTCCAGCCTGTCCAGCTCCTTTTGGATGACATCCCATCCCTCTGGTGTATTGACAACACCACACAGCTTGGTGTCGTCTGCAAACTTGCTGATGGTGCCTTTAATCTCTCTGTCTATATCATTGATAAAAATGTTAAACAGTATTGGCCCCAGCACGGACCCTTGAGGAACACCACTTGTGACTGGTTTCCATCTGGACTTTGAGCCATTGAGTACCACCCTCTGGATGCGACCATCCAGCCAGTTCCTTATCCACTGAACAGTCCACCCATCAAATCTGTAACCCTACAATTTGGTGAGCAGGATGTTGTGGGGGACCGTGTCAAAGGCCAACCAGCAGCGTGAGCAACAGTCTGTATATCCCACCCAGCAGTGCAGTATCCTGACCAGAAATGAGACAGTTCCTGATTTAGAGCTGGCTGCTAGCACCAAGTGTGATGTTCCCCTCAGACTGCGCTGCCTCAACTCACCTTAATAGGTGTGAGGTGCTGGAACTGCCGATGCGGATGTGGGATCAGATGCTGTGGCTTGGTCCAGTCTGAAGAGGAGTAAACCCTGATTTCACTGCGCTGGTCTGTGCTCAGGAGCTTGGCACCATCCGTTGGGCTGAAGTAAGCTAGGAGAGGAGGACAATGTGGAAAATAAAAGATGACAATGCTGTGATTGACAAGAAACATTACAGTCACATTTCGATTGGAAACCCATTGCTATTTTTGTAATAGGTGAATATGGTCCTGTGTCCCAACAGACAAGACTTTACCTGTCTCAAACAAAATCAGAGCTCTTACAAACAGTAAGCCGAAGCCTATCATGCTGGGTTACACAGGGAAGAATCATTATTCTAATTTTAGAATCACAGAAAGACTCACTGCAAAGAAAGGAACTTGCTCGTTCAAATGGAAAAGTTAGTGGAAAAGCTGGAGATGGGCACTGGCAGTTTGGACTTCCATGAACTGGTAAAACTGCACCCAAGGAACAGAGGTCTGAGTCCCATGCTCTGCTTTTGTCAAATGAACAATAAATTCAGTTTTCTACCTTCAGCCTCCGCTGATGCTCCCACACTCACCTCTCAAGGCACAGTGCCAGTTTGTATGGCAAGTCCAAGACCACCCTGCAGCTGCCACCCCCTGCCTCTGGCCACACGTTTCCGCTGCCGGCCTTGCTTTAACACTTACCTACCACCCAACTTCCAATCTTATGGAAAACTAACATTGCCACAGCAATAAAAGCCGAGCTGAGGGAACTCTCTGCAGCCACCCACGCAATGAAATCCTTATCCAACTCACCTGCATTGACAGGTTTGTCATGAGGAAGCACATGAAGAAAATTCATTTTGTTTTTGATGTTCCTGAGGTCCCAGATTTTGACTGTCTACCAGTTTGCATGGCAAGTCCAAAACCGTGCAGCAGCTGCCACCCCCTGCCTCTGGCCACACGTTTCCGCTGCCGGCCTTGCTTTAACACTTACCTACCACCCAACTTCCAATCTTATGGAAAACTAACATTGCCACAGCAATAAAAGCCGAGCTGAGGGAACTCTCTGCAGCCACCCACACAATGAAATCCTTATCCAACTCACCTGCATTGACAGGTTTGTCATGAGGAAGCACATGAAGAAAATTCATTTTGTTTTTGATGTTCCTGAGGTCCCAGATTTTGACTGTCTGATCCACAGACGCTGTGGCCAACAACCACTCACATCGGGAGTTAAACTCCACGTGAGTCACTTTCTTCTTGTGCAATTTCTTCCTCCAAATCTGCAGCAAACAGAAAATCACACAGAAAAGGAAAAAAAAAAAAAAATCAAGGCTTGGTGTAAAGAAATTAAATAATCTACTAGTGCAGAGTAGAGGCCACACATTCACAGAGTAACAAAGCTTCTAAAATACACCAAGAGTTTACCCCCTGGAAACAAGAAAAGAGAAGAATGACCTTGGGAACTAAGTGTTTAATTCTAGGAGAACTCTGCTTCACCTGATTTGTTACAGCTATGAGAAAGGAAAATGCAATCCCTGGTTCGTGGAGGGGAGTGCTAATGCCACTGCACTGTACAAAGCAAGATCACATCTGGAATATTTTATACAGTGCAAGTCTCCCAGCTGCAGAAAGATTAAAACAAAGTGGAACAGGTACAGAAAATGTGCTGCCGAGATAACAGTAAGAAGGAAGGGCCTGGTTTGTGTGAAAACACCAAAAGAGCTTGCTTTACCACAGTAGAAAAGGTGAGAGGAGATGGAATTGGCTTCTAGAAATACATCAGCAAAGCAGCATGAGATTTGGAGAAATATTTCAATTAGCAAGAAGAAATGGATATAAATTGTCCATGAACAGATTTATATCTGAAGCTGGGAGATTATTTCTAATCAAAAGGGTGAAGCTGGCAATATACAATGGGTTCCTACAATAATGGGTATCTCCCAAGTGCAGGAAAGACTGTCACATTCTTTCAAGAAAAAAAAATGAAAGGAAGCAACTAACCTTGAATAAGCACAAATCATTTTTGAGCGCTCCTGCCTCTGCCCACTGATTTACACAGCTGCCTCCGGCCACAGCTCATCGGGTGGCAAACCCTCGGAGATGTTACCCTTACAGGCAGAAGGAATGGTAATTCGGGTGTGAGGGTACAGCAGGCTCTTGAAACTCCAGACTGGAAAGCAGAGCCTGCCTCCGCCTGCCCTCTCGTGTCTAACGGCAGTAGCGCAATTTCTGTCCCAAAATTTGCTGAATTCTGTTTGCCAGCAGTGTGCCCAGGTGGCCAAGAAAGCCAACAGCATCCTGGCCTGTATCAGGAACAGCGTGGCAAGTAGGGCCCAAGAGGTGATTGTCCCCCTGTACTCGGCACTGATGAGGCCTCACCTTGAGTGCTGTGTCCAGTTTTGGGCCCCCTGCCATAAAAAAGACATCGAGGTGCTGGAGTGGGTCCAGAGAAGGGGAACAAAGATGGTGCGGGGTCTGGAGAAAAAG